ATCTTCTAAGATTTCATTCATGCATGGCATTAATTAAGGAAGTGGAAACAAAATTTGTCTACTACTTTCTTGGAATTATGAATAAGCCGCAAGAGCACACGCCACTTGAAGCTTATTCAACGAGATCATATATTCAAATTAAAGGCCATATAGATTATAAAAAGTCAACACATAACTGATCGTTTAATAATTTTCTAGTGACATTAATTTAAAGTTATTGTATTTAGAAAACCATTAATTACAACAAAATTGGTCCAAGCTATATTCAAAAGTGCTCAAATTGAAATGGCAGATGTTCAATCAAATTGAGCTTTAACATAGATTATTGGTCAGCGGAGAAAGAGCTACTTTTTTACAGCTCATGGGATGGTGCTGAGTGCTGACTTTGAAAAGAAAAAGAAAAAGGAATTCATACAACCCCCAAGCGATTGCTTGGTGCAGGGATCAAACCCTACCTCAAGCAGTTTCTTGAAAAATCTTTGGAGGCCAGAGGATAAGCCAAAAAACCTTCGGTTGGAGGATTAGTCTCGTCTTTTCTCCAGTTGCGAAGCTTAGTGCACTTACAATGAGAGGCTAGCCCAAACCGGCCGTGCCCCGAAGGCATGGTGCATACTTGTCACGTGAAGGGCAATCTAAAATTATGGAAAAGCTGAGAGTAAGATAGAAAAATAAAAATAAAAACAGACGTAAGCAATAAGACACGGGAAATTTTAAAAAGCGAAACTTGTTTGAATCAACTTTCTTGCCGGCAAAGTTTTTCATTTTTGTTTAGATAAAAAGAGAATTTGAGTTCGATTCTATCAAATATATATTTGGAGGGGAAGAGATTTAATTATGATTAAATTTCAATTTGGGATTTATTTTATAATCGGTAAAAAAAAATTAAAATTTGTATGAATATGGGAGAAGTCAGCTAATTAGTATTGGTATTAAAAAAAAAATAGAACAAGCATGGGTAAATTTCAAAACGATTTTGAACTTTCGCAACTATATCCATTAAAAATATATTTAAGAGTGCGCAGAAGGGATGTGAGTATTTGAAAAAAGAAGAAGAAGAAGAAGATAAATTGCGTTGATTTCTTTTGAGATTTGATAAAATTATAATCTGTTTTTGAGATGGATCGATAACATAAAAATAATATTCAATAGATAAATAATTAACATATTATTTTTTCAAAATATATTCTTATAAATATATATCATTTTAATTAAAGTTGAACGCAAAGACAAGCAAGTGTAATTTTGAAGAGAATGGTGCAAGTTTCAACATTAGGGTAAGCAAATATTGGAATAGCTCTTAATGGTGTGTTTGGTATAAGGGTATCAAAAAGATTACTGATAAATCTTTTTTGGTAAATGTGAATTATCATGTTTGGTAGAAGTAACAAAAATCATGTTCTTCGATATTCAAGGTTTACCAGTAATTTGATTTACAAAAGAAAAGTCACTATTCAGATTATTAAAAATAATATGATAATTCAGAATTCCAAGTAAAGGAAAAGCATAACAACAATTTTTGAGACAAAAATATTTCAACACACATCAAAATATAGACCCATTCTATCAATTACAAAAGTAAAAATAGTTTGGGGTTATTTTTGTAAAATAATCTCATATTCCAAGTCATATTTCGTTCTAAACCAAACATGGAATCAGTAATCTTTACCCAATATTTCTGGTAATATTTTGGCGAACCAAACATCTTTTTCGTAACATTCCGAGTAAACTCAATTTCTAATGTATTCCCAGCGATCATAATTTCCGGATCTCAAAAAATTTCTCTTATACCAAATACACCCTAAAAATCTTTTGGGCTTTTGGTATATGATAAGGTCCAAAGAAATATAGGATTATATTTGATCCCTATATATATTCTCCTAAGTTATTTAAGTCGTCATATTCTTTGAAACAAGATAGAATATCCACATACTTTTTTCTTCTCTTGGGCCACAATTTGAAAGATCTAATCATTCATAGTTGCTGCCTACGAGAAGATTGATCCCTAGAAATTTAGGGAGAGAAGAATTCAACGCTAGACAAGGATATTTTAGAACTCGTTTGAATAGACTTTTGAAAAAAAGATTTTTATACATTGTTTTTTCTTTTTCAAAATAACTTTTTTAAAAGGTAAAGTTATTTTATGTTTGGATGTACAATTTAAAAATTGCTTTTACATAAAAAAATTATTTGTATGTTAGAATAAAAAAACATTTTTTATATACAAAATTATAAAAAAAAGACATTAATGGGGAGAGTATTAATGTATTCACTTTTTATATACAAAATTACAAAATCTACATGCATGGACATGCATATAGATACAATACTGTATTCACTTTCTTGTTTGTTGTGTGTCTTGGTTTTTATATTTATTTTCTTATTTCTGTGATTGTGGCTTGAAAAAAAAAAGGAAGAAGAAAAAAAACAAGGACTAAACACCAAGCATATGATTGTACCTTTTACCAAGAAAAAAGAAGAACCAAAAGTAGCAATTATAGGTACCTTGAAGAAGAAAATGTAGGAATAAAAAAAAAAAGAGGAAGATATTTGATTGTAAAGTGATAGGTTATTGTAGCTAACAAAAAAAAAATAGCATGATCGTATGATAGGAAAAGATAATGGGCTGCTAGAATAAGGCTAAATTTGTATTTTAAAAATTTATATTATCTTTTAATTTTTGTTTTTTTCCAAAAGCAAGCAACCAGTTATTGGCTAAAAAAAAAAAAAAGCACAATTTTAACTTTTATTTTAAATTTTATTTTTTAAAAAAAATTGTTATCCAAATATCTAAAATTTCTTTAAAATAAGTTTTTTTTTAAAAAAAAAAAATTTAGAAACAAAAACCCATCTCTTAAAACGCTTATACCACAAGATAAATAAGCTTTATGTTAATAAACTATGATTATTCGTTAAGATATCAAATCATATTGGTTGTATACACTTCCACCGATTCAATTATTCCTTCAGTGGCTTTTTGGTCAATAACATTATTATGCTCGCACAATAATATTCAAACAACAACAATACTGCTGAAATTAATCTCACAACTAATGCATGTGATAACAAACTAAAAAACCTGAAATTCGTATGGTCTTTTATTCAAATAAAAAAAACACAAAATATATAGATAAATGCAATTTTCAAAACATAAACAGATTTTGATATAATTTTAAGATCTGTTATTTAAAAAAATTAGATAGTACGAACTTAGTTTTGCAAAATGATTAACAAAGCAAAAAAAGCTTTCTAACTATAAACTAGGCATTTACTTTCATTCAAAACTTGAATACTAAATAATTTTAGAAGCTCATTCACAATAAAGTTATAAGTGACTGAGAAAGTAAAGATATATTCCTTCTTAGATTAAGTGAAGGGTTATTATGAATGAAAATAAATACATTTTACTTACTCAATTTAAAAATAGATTCAACTATTATTTAAAATAAAACTTCAATGTTCTACGGGGGAAAAGGACTTCAAAGAAGTATTTATTTTAAGAGAGTTCAAATTTAAAAACATTTGTAATCTATTAAATGAAAAGTGAAAACAACCAATTCGGTTTTTACTGATTTTGAAGAAAGATTAAGGTGGTTTATCCTCAAATTTATGTGGAAGAATGTTTGCCACATGTTTTATGTAACGGATTTGAATATACATTTCTCTCCTTTTCTTATCTCATTATTAGTAAGTGATTATGAAAAAATAACATAATCATTTTTCTAAGTGAGAATTCAAATCACTTATCCTAATATTTTTTATCTCCTTCCTTATCCATTCGTTAGTTACGTTAATTAACACATGTGATCCACTTCCAATGCAACTTTTTGTTTTTTTAAAAGAGCGTTTGATACGTGCTATTCTTTAGAATTTTTAAAAAACTGAATTTTTTTAAATTTTTAAATATTATCGTAAACTAAATATAAAAAATTATATTTTTAAAAATTAAAATTTTCAGATAAAAAAAAAATTTCCTCCTTATCAAATGCCCTTAAGGTAGTGTTTGGTTGAAGGTTTATTTTAGGATTGATGGGAAAGTGTAGGTAGATATTGAAAAATACCACGTTTGGTTCAGGTTTTTTTAAGAAATACCAGACAAATAGGATAGATGGGAAAATGACTTTTGTGTTGATTTTTGGTTGAAATCCACTATTACAGAATACCACTTGAGATGTGGTATTGTGAGATGACTGGGGAAGTGAAAAAACAGGTTGAAAGTTTCTCCCTAACATAGATTTTGCATATTTAAATAAATTTCCCTGGTAATATTTGGGTCAACCAAACAACTTTTATTATATTTTCCTATCAAACTCACTTTCCAACCATTTTCCTATCAATTATATTTCCCTAGTAAAAAAAATTTCTCCCGAACCAAAGACTAACTAATTGACGTTAACAAAAAAAAAAAAAAAAACGTGACATTCGTTGAAAAACATGGTACATCGTCAACGCGCCCACCACGTCAGGCTTTCACGGAAGATACGTTGCAAGGAAGGGAGAATATAAGAATGTAGAGAAGAGAAGTAGGGCATCTAATTCAAACCCAAAGGAGAACGGGTATCTTTTTTTCACCTTCCCCAATACCTGTTCTCCTCTTCCTCTATTCAACGCTTTTCCATCAAAGTCAGGGTTTTCTGTTCAAGATCTCATTCTTATGCGACCCAGCATATCAATCTTGAACTTTCGTGTGTTTGACGATCGTATAGCTGCAGATTCAAAGGATTATTTTTGTTCTGTCGCAGAAAGCCCTAGGCTTTGGTGTAAAAATCACTACCCATTTTTGTAATTGAGAAAGGCCTTTTTTGTTTATTCTTGTTAGTTGTTGATGAATCTATTTGTTGCTGAAGAGGATTGGCTTGCGAACATACCCAATTCATATCTGGGTGTCCCCAGGCCATTGCAACGTACCCACTTTACTTTCTCGAGGCGTAGATGGGATAAGGAGTTTTCTGTGCTTCAGAGTGGCTAAATCAAATTCAAATTCATAATAATTTTGTTTTGGAATGGATTCTTCACAAGGGTCTACGCTGGCTGGTTTGGTCGAAAATGCATCTACTATTCAGAGGGATGAATCTTGTTTGGATGGCGTTCCTGTATATGTTAAGGAGCTTATTGCCAGAGGCTTTGCCGGTGCACTTTCTAAGTCTGCCGTTGCACCCCTCGAACGTGTTAAGATACTCTGGCAGGTCCACCACCTCTTTTTTCATTTATTCTTTTTTTGCCCTTTTTAATGGAACATCATTCAAGTCTCTTATTAACAGATCACATTATTAATAATATTATTTGAGTGTGCTGTAAATTGATTTATCCTTCATAAGTTGGTGGGAAATATCTACAGAGGTTTTGTAGAGATACTGATACTAGACAAATGTGAACATACAGAAGGGGAGAGAGAATTTTTTAAGTGTGTAAAGAGAGCATTATGTTGTGATGCATTGGTTCTATTATGTCTTGGGCTTGCCTTGGGTGTCAATTAGTTTCTGCTCTTTAATTTGTGGCGGCTCTGGCTGGATTCTTAAAATGCTTAATTTTGCATCCTTTTAACCCATTACTCATCAAGTGACTTTCAGAGGTAATTACCTCTGGTTTTTAAAGTATATATGCTATCACTTGTCAGAAATAAATCATCTATGATGGTGTTGCTTGTTTTATACCTTGTTTGCTGCTTGAGAATATTTGTAAATGGGTGTATCTCCCTCTTTAACCTTTATTTGATTTTTTTTAAAATTTTATTTATCTACAGACAAGGACAGCAGGATTTCAGTTTATTGGTGTGTACCAATCTATGAATAGGTTACTAAAGCATGAAGGTTTTCTAGGATTATATAAGTAAGATTCAAATTACATTATTGGAAATTTCTTTTTGTTCGCAATGCTTTTATTGCTAACCTATGCTTATGTGGTGGTTTCAGAGGAAATGGAGCTAGTGTTATCCGGATTGTTCCATATGCAGCTTTGCATTTTATGACCTATGAGCGATATAAAAGTTGGATCTTGGATAATTATCCTATCTTAGGATCAGGTCCTTCTATTGATCTTTTAGCTGGCTCCGCAGCAGGAGGAACTTCAGTTTTATGCACATACCCCTTGGATCTTGCTCGTACCAAACTTGCTTATCAGGTAGGGATCTCCTTTTAACATCTCTGAACCTTTGAAATAGACTTGATGGAACCTCTAACACATGCATATATGCTGAATAGTATTGAGAATCTCTCATTATCCATTCCATTATTTTGCTTGTCATTTAATCCAAATTAAATTAAATTTTAAGGAACGTTGTACAACTAGGAGAAATCTATAGTGGAAGAGAGATGAAGAATAAAAAATATTACAGCTACCATTTTCAATAGAGAGACTGCCTAAGAAAATTTTTATGGTGTTCATAGAATCCTTCAGCATGCCTTAATAAGAGAGACTATGAAACATGATATTCTGATTCCGATACATGTGGTCCATGAGTTATCCTACTAAAGGTAATATAAGAAAGTATGAATACCAATGCATTCATATTGAAACCAAACCTGCTTATAATAAATATAAGGACCCAAGTCACCTAAAACTGACAAGATGGCTTAAAAGAAGTTCGGTTCATACACACATATTAGGAGAATATATTATTAGTTCTGTGCAATTTTTAATCTCTTTGAGGAACTATGTCATACCTTTTTCAAATAGTTTGTTGTACCTGAGATTTCAACTGATAAACTTTTCTTCCTTAATATATTCCATTGATCGACCCTTTTTCTTTGGATATTCATTGTAAATTTGGAACATGCACCCAATTGAGACTCTGACTTTATTAGTTGTACGTCAGTATTAGATTATTTTCCATTTAGATATTAGGTGGACCTGTACGATTGCTCTTCTTGGACTTATTATCTATGTCATATTATATCCTTTTTTTATTGTTTATGTTAGTAGGGGATATCTTTTGAAGGAAGAATTACATGTAATATATAATCTCATTATATTTCTTATTTCTGTTGTTTACAATTTTATAGGTGGCGGACACAAGAGGAAGTATCAAAGATGGTATGAAAGGAGTTCATTCTCAACCTGCACATAATGGCATTAAAGGTGTACTTACAAGTGTCTATAAGGAAGGGGGAGTTCGTGGACTTTATAGGGGTGTAGGTATGTATCACCCAGGATCTACCATTACAATCTTTATTCATGGCAATCATAATAGGTTCCTGGTGGAGAATTTTGTTGGTATTTTTGTTTGTGGGGAAAATGTTTTCTCATAGCATGTCTCAGTTATCATCTCTTGCACTTACCACCTTATCCAATCTTTTCAGTACATTCATTGAAAACCTCATTGTTTTCTTTTGCTTAGGACCAACCCTTACTGGAATTCTTCCATATGCTGGTTTAAAGTTCTACATGTATGAGAAATTGAAGATGCATGTTCCTGAAGAACACCAAAAGTCCATTTTGATGCGCCTTTCTTGCGGAGCACTAGCTGGATTGTTTGGGCAGACTTTAACATACCCTTTAGATGTTGTTAAGAGACAGATGCAGGTACTTCAGCCCCACTTTATGTCTGCTTTCCGTTGTCTAGCTGAATTAGCTCTTTAATTTTTTTTGGGTATAGAATTTGATGTGAAAGACCTTTTAGGTAGTTTTCCAGTTTTACAACTACCATTTCGTCTTCTACATGGACTCCTATGTAGCATTAGCATGCATCCCTTTGCTGGGGCTTGTAATCATTTTGTCTTTGTTTGTGCAGGTTGGCAATCTGCAAAATGCATCCCATGAAGATGCCAGATACAAAAATACATTTGACGGACTTGGGACGATTGTTCGTAATCAAGGGTGGAGACAGTTGTTTGCAGGCGTTAGCATTAACTACATAAGGGTAATGCTCACCTTATCATAGCCAATTTTATGGGAGATTAGTTTTAGATTGCTATTTTTACATATTTCAAGTTTCTGTTATTTACTTTACCTTCTAGAAGCAGATCAAATTACTGCCAAAAACACTCTTTCTAGGTTGTGTTGACTGTTGATAAAATGATATTGTCTTTACTCTTTTTCACTAAATTTTGGGTTATGTCAATCACCATGTTTCTATATGACTCACTGCTCTGTTGTCTTTAGTTTTCATGAAATTGACTTGAATAAATTGGATGTTGAATTTAATGTTGTATCATATTGCTACATGGGAGCTGATATTTTATAAATATGGGAAGTCAAATGGATAACAAACAGATGTGTGCCGAGAAAGTTTGGCCCTTTCTGTTGGACACCAATTTTTCTGTTTGCCCTTACCCAAGGACTGAAAATAATGGTTTGGGTGAATAGCGATAGTGGCCAAGTGTCTTTTTCAAATTTCAGAAACTAGATAAATAATGCATTGGTTTTAGAATATTCTGTTTGATACTCATTTGTATTTTGAAAAGCTAGTCTAATAAATCGTTCAAAACATTGAGTTTTTGTAGTGGTCGGTTTCTATAATTGTCCATGGTTGGTCACCTTAAGCGCCAGAAGATCCTACCCATTTCGTTGGTAGCTTCTGTGCTTTTCATTTCGGTTCTTTAGTGGTTCCATTTTAATCATTGCTCGCTATGTTCCCAGATTGTTCCTTCAGCTGCAATTAGTTTCACCACATATGATATGATGAAGGCTTGGCTCGGCGTACCACCTCAACAAAAGTCTCGATCAGTTTCGGCAACATAATTGCTAATTGCTCTCCCCGTGATGGCAAAATGTTACAAATGACACTTTCTGATTGACTCATTTTTAGAGGGATGTCTCTTGCAGAGTATTACTGCATATGACTTCAACAAATTATTGTTTTAGAGGAATCCTTTTTGTTTGTTGTATCTAGAAAGTTCCTAGAGTGTTAACTCATTATTTCTTCAACCTTAAATGTAACTTCTATAGATTTGTCGAAAACTGTGGATGCAATACAAAAAGTAGTTATTTCCCCCTTCAAATTTCTATTCCCATCTATCTTCTCTCCACTAATAACTGTTAAATGTTCTGCACGAATATAAATTTTAATGGTTGTAAGATCCCTGTCTCGGATCGCTAATGCTTGTATTTTGTACATTCTAGTTAATCACGAGTCATCACTGTTTGAAGGATTTCTACCAAGAAATTTTGATGACTGCAATGCTAAGAATATGTATATGTACACATGCGTACGGCAATCTGATAACATCATAACAAAGCTTGGGGAAGCGCTTATTTATTTAATTATTTGTTTTGTAAATACAAGGGACTTAATTATGTTCATGCTCATGCCTGGGGCAGTCTGATAGTAAACACTTTCTCATGCTGATTTCTGTTAGTTCCACTATTCACAACTTCAGAGAGTTTGTTGCACAAGGTCATGCATATTGTGGAGTCATTATACTTATAAAAATGTGCTGCATTATTTATGGAGGAGGGATATTCTCACTACCAAAATTTTCCACTACCAACTTACTACCTATCTAATCACCATTAGATTAACATTTTATCTCTCTTCAAAAACTTTTTAACATTCTCTCTCTTTGATCCAATGGTGATGTGATGGGTAGTAAGTTAGTAATGAGAGTTTTTGGTAGTTAGAATATCCCCACTCTTATTTATGTGTACAAACATTTTGAAACCTTTGAACACAGATGTTTGTGCTCGGATTAAGAGAGAGAAGACAAGGAGGAAATTAAATTTTTAAAATTTGAAAACTTGTTTGGTGGAAGTGAATTTAACTTGTCCGTTTGGATGAATTTTTTTAGTCAAAAACTGTTTTTTTTAGAAGAAAAAAAAAAGAACGCTTCCACAATAAAGCCTGTTTAATATCTACTTTAAAAAAAAACAAAAATCATAGAAAAAGAAGAAGTTAAAAGTCAAATATTTTTTTTTTAAATTAAATAACTTTAATTTTTATAAAAAGCACTTTTAAAATAAACAAGACATAAAATTAGTTTTTTTAATAAACCTATCCGAAAGGGCCCTTTGATTAGAAAATTTGTATTTATAATACATTTACTTTTTATTGTTTACTGTCCACTATCATACAATCAGACAAGGTTTGATATATACCTTTATGGTCGGACTCAAAATTTCTCAAGTGAAAATATTACTGTTTTGGACCACTTAAATGGTCATAACTTTCTCTCTCCACTGCATAACATGTAATAAGTATCTCATTTTACCATTCTTTCCCAACTTCCCTTCATTACATATAACCTACGAAGTATCGACACTTCAAAAGTTCTAAGATGTCGTGTCCGACACTTTCCGACTCTCATCGATACTCCGACTCTTTCCGTCACTCCAATACTTGTTGCAAAAGACTCAAAAAAAGTTCAAAAGTTACGTTACGTTGCATTTTGAGTTTCCACTATTAGATTCGTTAAATTACGATTACGATGTTATTGATTTTAATACAAACATTTGAGATATCTTATATTTTTTTGCAAAATTGATGGATATTATAAGTTTAGCTTTATTTTTTTGTTAAATTATTTAATACTAAATATAATATACACTTCATAAATTAAAAATACTATGTAATATCAAAACGTGTCCTAACGTGTCAAAATTTAACATTTTTTAGAATTAACGTGTCGGAGTGTCGTATCCCGTGTCCCGTGTCGGTGCAACATAACATATAACCACCAATTAAGCATAGCATAACCTCATTAAATCACCTGCAAAACCACTTACTATGTGCACAACCTCTCCTAATTGTTAGTGCACTTCATTTATATATGGTTCCCTACTTCAAAGGATGAAAGGGGATTCTTCAACATCTACAAGGCTTACCACCATGGCTATTCAGTGAGCATATGACTCACAGATATATCCCTTATAGTGATTTCATTGGACTTTGGCATTAGATGCTGGATTTTTCATTGACAGCAATCTCTACTATAAGTTTCATAGATATAATTACTAGCTATCCAACTAAACATTGATGTTCATCTATGAACATTTATGTTTCAAGATCTTAAAAAAAAAATCCAAATTACAATAATTAGATTAACATTACATTTTAATTCAAAACTAATATTAGAATTGCAAATTTTCTTATTTTTGTTTAATTTTAACGTAAAAGTTCATTAGTTACACTATGATATTTAGTTAAATAAATAAAAATAAAAATTAATATTGTTTATTTAATTATTGTATTGAGAAAAAGACAAGTGGGGAAGACAGGTTGTGGTGCCCAGTTGGTGGTTTTGGATACCCAATGAATAGACAATTCGAGACTCCTCATTCATTGACGATCTGTCTCTAATTTTCCTTATTTCCTCGGACACGCTCGTCTCTACATAATGTCTTTTTGCAACTTTTCTTTGACAATTGATACGCGGAATGTTGACCTCTGCCTTGCACCTTTTTTTTTGTTTTTATTTCTGTTCTGCCTTTTTCATATCTTCAAATGTGGGCTTTTGCCAGTTGCCATCACATTTTTTCACCTTCTCACGAGCAAATTCAAAAATAAAAAAAGGTTGTTATATTTTACCATATTTATAAAATAATGGGACATTTAAATATTATTAGTGATAATGGATTTATAAATTTATGTATGTTATGTGCCTCAATTAATTCTTATGTAAATAACGTTAAACCGAAAACAAGAAAAATATCACTTTTGAGGTGGCCTATAGGCTATAGAAGTGAAATCATAAGGTGTTAGAAGAAGTTACACAGTTTCAAATTGACTTTTCAATTTCATGCAGGCAATCAAACATGCGCTAAAATAATAAATAAAATACTCAATGTAGCATTTGATTATAATATTTAAGTTCTATCCTATCAGTATCACTTTCTCTCGGTGCATTGCAGTGTCTTTGGATTCCCAAGAACCGTGCACTGCGTTGTTGCGGTTGCAGATATGAATGCTCTCCACTATTCTCGAAAAAAACAGAGGATAGAAATTACTGGTCGTCTCAGTTTGAATTACAAATCCCTGCTAATGCGATAAAAAAAGTAGGAGCCAAATTGTACATTTTTTCAGATTTTCTATTACTTTATTTGTTGAAGTTGTCGCTGATCCGTGCAGTATCCATGGGAATGCTCCTCAAGACCAAATATAAAAACCAATGCCCTCTTTATATATTATTAGTGGGGCGACCTCGACATAAGGTAGTCCAATCCATGCCAAAATTTAAACTTGGTTTCTCTACTTCTCACTTTTTCGGTCCCTGAAATCTTAACTATAATATTAATTTTAATATATATATATATAATAAATAATTAGTTGGAACAATTTTGATGTAGGAATCCGAGGACATATTGCAAGTGTCCGAAACCAATTTTATTTTGAAACAAATAAATAGTAGACGAAATCAAGTAGGTCAAAGTGGCCAAGTTTATTTATTTTTCGAAATTCTGTCCCATTAATAATAAAGTTTGAAGAAGATGGTTATGGCATTGGCGGGGCAGATGCCTCTGTTTTTGGACAACAGTACTACCATCGTGTACTGAATATTGAATATGACGGTAGTTTAAAATAAAATCATATATTTAAAAAAATACATTCTTATAATATTAAAAAATTCTTTTCTTGAAAAAACATATCAACTAATATGTTATATTCTTATTGGTGAATTATACCTACGCTAGTATTATATATTTTTTACTGTTGTTGTGAGATAGATTCCTTGTCTGTTAGCATTTCTCTCTCTGTCTTTTATTTGTCAGTACCCAACACTTTTTTCAGTACTACTCTAGACATCAAATCAAAGGCTTCGTGCCTTTTTATAACCCCAAAGGTAGTGGGACCTACCTACCTCCGTCAAAATGCAAAGGCATGCCCCCCGAACGTGAACGTGGCAGTGTTCCAATGCAAAGGAATTATAGGGAGAGTCATTATTTTGTCACGTTTGGACAAAATAATTATCAGACTGTCACGTCAACATTAAATTTTGTCAAAATATCACGCGGTATAATCGCTACACAGTGCAGTGAATTATGCATGCAAGTAATTCGCTATACAGTGTAGCGAAATATGCCACGTCAGAATATACAGAACCAAAAATGTCACATGTAGTAAATTTTGCAAAATTTGACATGTGACATTTTTGGTTCTGTGCATTCTCACCATATTTCGCTACACTGTGTAGCGAATTATTTGCATGCATAATTCACTACAGTGTAACGAATTATGCCGGATAGTATTTTAGCAAAATTTATTGTTAAGCTAACAATCTGATAATTTTTTTTTTGTACATTTTCGTCACTGTTCCGGAATCATCCATCTTGCGGGACCAACAACCTCAACCCCTCCCTTTGTCCGTTGCACCTTTTGAATTTCAAATCTCGGAACGCCAACTTACATCTCTCACCACATAACCATAACCCACCCACAACCTCTCTCTTTCTCTCTCTCCCCCCAACATTTGCCTCTCTTACTTGACACTTCATTCAAAGAGCAAGAAGGTTTCTTGCTGCTACTCTCACTATCCTGAAGCAAACCAGCAACACTGATGGGTGCCTCAGGAAAATGGGTAAAAGCATTAATAGGACTCAAGAAGCCCGAAAAGCATGCTGAACATGTAAGTTAGTTTAACTAGTTATATATATATACACACACCATAGAATCCAAGTTTTTGTTTTTTTGTTTTTTGTTTTCATGAGTTTGTTTTGTTCATGTGTGCGTAGGCGAAGGAGGGGGGTAAGAGCAAGAAGTGGAAGTTATGGAGGAGTTCATCGGGTTCAGGGGATATGAGTTCGTGGAAGGGTTTCAAAGGAAACCACAAAGCAGCTTCTGAGGGTTCTGATTCTCCACCAGTAGTGGCAGATGCTTATACCGCAGCAGTGGCAACTGTGGTTCGAGCTCCACCTAAGGATTTTAGACTAGTCAGGCAAGAATGGGCAGCAATTAGAATCCAAACTGCTTTCCGCGCCTTCTTGGTAACATCACATTTCCTCTTTCTCTCTTATTCAATTTTCGTCAACAAAGATTCTTCCTTTTTATGTCTAAAATTATTAGTCAGATGATACTAAAAGCTAAGCTTTGTTGAGTTAGTTGGAATTAAGACTTGATCTAAACCAAGTAGAAGAATGCTTGACTAAATGTCGTAATGAACTTATTGGTGGAACTACTATGTTCGTAAATTGTAATAATGAAGCATTTTGGGATACTTGAAGGCAAGAAGGGCTTTGAGGGCATTGAAGGGAGTGGTGAGGCTTCAAGCTCTTGTGAGGGGTAGACAGGTGAGGAAGCAGGCTGCGGTGACATTAAGGTGCATGCAGGCCTTGGTTCGTGTTCAAGCTCGAGTAAGAGCTCGTCGTGTGAGGATGTCCATAGAAGGGCAAGCTGTGCAGAACATGCTTAATGAGAGACGCACCAAGCTTGATCTTTTGAAGGAAGCTGAGGTAATCCTATAATAAATTAACCTTCCAAACTTGTTGTTCCAAGTTTTTAATTTCAGTTAACGTGAAAGAAAGATATTTGCGAATCTGCAGGAAGGGTGGTGTGATAGCAGAGGAACATTGGAAGATGTTAAAGCAAAAATACAAACGAGGCAAGAAGGAGCTTTCAAGAGAGAGAGAGCAATTGCATACTCTCTTGCTCAGAAGGTAAGTAACAAAGTACAAACTTTACCAATTTTTTTTTTTTTTTCAGCTTAAGAAAGATGTTTTAAGATTTTTTATATTTTCAGCAATGGAGATCAACCCCAAGCTCTAATTCACGAATAAATCACGAGGTTGACAAAGCTAACTGGGGATGGAGTTGGTTGGAACGTTGGATGGCAGCTAAACCCTGGGAGAGTAGATTGATGGAACAATCTCAGGCTGAAGGCTTAGATAAAACACCACCTCCAAAGAAATTTGGGGAAACCATTGTAAGCTCTAATTCAAAACCTTGCTTGATCAAAATCAAGAAAAACAACGTCACAACAAGGGTTTCTGCTAAGCCTCCACATATTGGGCAAGCTACTCGCTCATCCTCAAGTCCTAGTTCTGAATTCCGGTATGATGAGAGTTCTGCATCATCTTCTATTTGTACATCTACAACACCAATGTCTGGGAATACTTGGGACAGGACCGAGGATGGTAGTAACACTAGACCGAATTACATGAACCTGACTCAGTCAACTAAGGCAAAGCAAAAAACAAGTAATCAACAAATGTACAACAGAGCTCAAAGGCAACAGTCCATGGATGAGTTTCAATTTCTCAAAAGGGCTGCGGTTTTCTCTAATGGGGATTCCAAAAGCACTGCTGGTTCTGATCCTTCAATCAACTTTTCTAGACCACTTCACCCACCAACTCACTTGGACAAGAGCTCATTGAGACCAAGATGAGTGGGACTGAGCTCAGCCTACGTTGTTTGAGGGAAGCTCAACATCTATATGTATTTATTTATTTTTTTCCAAGAAGTTCAACATCTTGTTGTTCCTTGCACTTTAATTGAGTTAGCTAGCTAGCTAGCTAGAAGTAGCTTATGTGCTTGATACTACTTGAAGGGTCTGCATTTGTATAATTGTTCATTTGTGGGTATTGATATTAATCAGCACTGAGAGCTTATCTGGATAAATCATCAATTTTAAGCAAGACCTAAACTACATGGGGAAAAACCCCTACATTCAAACGGATTTTGTCATCTGATTTTGTTATTCTTCTCCTATAATGCCATTCATAATCTTGAAGGAAGAGTGTCCAACAGATATTTTTAAAGCCAAAAATAGTGATAATATCTCTTTCATTAACTTAAATTCAATGTCTATGACACGATTGTTCATTCTTGGATCTCAGCACACTTAGTATTTCTAATATAATTTATAATCCCAACGTCTAACTTCTGAAAACGCTTTACTTAGCAACTCCTCTCTGTTCTTGCTATGGCTCTGAGCTTGACACCATGCTTGAAGTTGAGGACTATGCCATAATCGAGTTCTACGGGATTCTCCATATTAGGTGAATGCCGAAACAAGTATCTCCGGTATAAATGAATCAGAGAAAGCTTTATCTCTTGTAGGGTAAATTTCTGACCAATGCAAGCCCGAGGACCAATTCCAAACGGTATGTAAGCATAAGGATGCCTTCGTTTCATTTCTTCACAGTTGGGGTCAAACCTCTCTGGTTTGAACTTTTCTGGTTCTGGAAAGTTTCTTGGATCTTTTGCTAGAACTCCAAGGGCTAACCAGACCCAAGTCCCCTGCTTATAAAAAACTACATCAGTGAAGGCATAAGTAAAACCTCCTTCATATTATGACTTGTGAAGAATATACCAAAACAGAAAGTCCTGAATATATCATGCAAGCAGAGACAGATGTTTTTTTACCTTTGGGAGAAGGTATCCTCCAATCTCTACTTCATTTGATGTTTCTCTTGCAACTAATGGGGAGACAGTGTAAAACCTCATCCCCTCTTTAATCAACTGCATTAATTAAAATAGAGCATACAAAAGTATAATATATCTAGTTATATGCTTGACTCTTGCAACTTCAAACTTGACTGAGTTTTTTCAGTTCAACTAACCTGATCAAGATAAGGAAACTTGTCATGAAGATCTTGAGAAGTGGGTGTATGATCTACAGGACCAAACCCATCAATCTCTTCAAGTAGCTTTTTCTCAACTTCTGGATGTCCAGCAACCAAATAGACAATGGAAGACAAAGTGAAGGCCGTGGTTGCTGACCCAGCAAGTAGATGCTCATAAGTAACAGCACTAATGCAATCAGGGGTGAAGACTTTTTCTGATAAGGCTTTTGATTCTTTGGCATTTAGTATGAGTGACAAGAAATCCTTTGAAGTTCGGTTCCTCTCTTTCATTCTATTTTCCACAATCTCATCAAGACGGCCACTTAGTTTCTGATTAGTACGCTCAATTTTCCAGTCCATGGTGCCTGGTATTCTCTTCAAAATCTGCCTAAATGGCTCCTGAAGTATTGGAACAAGTAGACCCACTATGATGGAGAAGGAACCAGATAAGTCCATCTTAAGTTGGGTTGTTGAGTAAATGTGTTGATTGATGAAATCTGATACTTCATTACTAGCACCTGCATCACCTACTTTGTTGTTACTGTTGTTAACACTATTGATTGAATCACTAACTGAATGAGGCTTAGAGAGGCCAAAGTTGACACCAAAGGCTGCCTCTCCAATCACATCAGTTGCCAGTCTGAGAGATATATCAGAGAAGATAATGTCTTCTTTTTGAGAGTCAAGATTTTGGGTCGCAGATTCTATGAATGACTGCATTGTAGGCACTAATCCGGATAAGTGTGATGGCTGGTACACCGACAATATTGTATTTCTCATGGTGGACCATTGTGAATCCCTGCACCTCAAAGTTGCAATAGACTGTTCAGCTTTTGTGAGTTGAAATTTGTATATCTATTGACTAGCATCAAAATATATGGTTCTGACTTCTGAATTTCACGACTTAATGATCAGTAAAAGGGAAAATGATTTTCAACTAAGTGGCTAGAACGATGAGAGAATTCAGCATCACACAGAAAATGAATTTCTCTCTCATTTTTCTTATAAAAAGAAGGTACAAAATAGAGGTGTAAAAAGAAAAAACAAAATTCAACAACGTTATGAAATTATTCCTTTACTTGTTTTTAAACACTTTTTTATGCTTACTTTTTGTGAAATAAGGAAGAGGGAAAATCTCATCCTTTAATTTTATGTTTTTCTCTTTTCTTTTATAAAAAAAAATTGTATAAATATAAAATTTAATTGGAGGAATAACAATTCTATTGTTGATAGTCAAAGGGTTACAATATGCATACCGGGTGAAGAAGAGGCCTTTTTGGTGAAGAGGGGAAGCAGAAATAGGAGAGGGAATACTTCGGTTTGGAATATCTTTAAATTTTTTTATGGAGACCTCTTTACAAAGCTCTGCATCTGCTATAATTATTAGTGGCTGTCTTCCCATATGAAATCTGCACCAATAAACAATAGGAACACCATTAACAACCGTAAACAGTGAAAATAATGGAAGAAAGAAACAACATAACTCCATACATAACACCCTCATTACTTTATAACTGACATAACTGACTCATTAATATTCTAACTGACAATATTCTAACTGACACAAGAAACTAAAAAACCAAAACTGCTAAAAAACGGACATTTAAAATTTATCCCAACAGAGGTGTCAAAATTGAACTTTGACAACGGTGTCAAAGGATCCTACCTATATATATATATATATATATATATATATATATATGGGGCAGGATATTCTTACACCGGTGTAAGAGTTATAAGTCTTATACTCAATTTTGACCATTGATCCACTTGTATCTAATGGCTCACATTACTAAAAAGATTGAGCTGTTAGATATAAGTGGAATCAACGGATAAAATTAAGAATGTAATTGGTGTAAAATGATCTGACCATATATATATATATATATATTGAGGGAATTATTCCTCCTCTATACGTAAGAGATCATGCTATAATCTTTGAGGGGATCATTTCTCCGCTGCATTAACCCCCATAACCTTTGAGGAGATAATTTTTTCTATACTTAATAAATATATCACTTATAAACATCATAATTTAGCAATATATGTACATGAATACGTGGAAGTTCATTTATCATTGTCAACTGTCAAGTACACTACGATTCTGTTCTCCTCATACTCAATATCATCCTATTCTTAATACCTTCCAAGGAATCTTGACTATTAAGTTGCCGGAAATAGATTGTTCTAATATGATAAAGTGTAACGTGCCGTATACATCCGGTTATTTATATTATATAAGTTCTCAATGATAGAATTAATTGAAAAAGGGGCAGTAGTTTTATCAACTTACATGTATTTTGATATAATAATAACTGAGATTGCATTTGAGTTTAAAATAGTCTGGAAATGTATGAAATTCACATCATATAATTCATGGTTTACATGTAATTATATTCATTGCGAGTGTGATGAAAAGGTGCATGAAAGTAAATTGATAGCAAGTGATTGCATGGTATGTGTTTTAACTATTGAAGTGTTGAAAATATAAGAATAAGCACCTTGATAGAACCAATTATGCAGAAACCTTGTTATTTCTGCTATAGGTTTTGTTCCAGTTTAGGTGGGAATAAGCATGTTGGAATCTGAATCCTTTGAGGGAGGGTTTTGTTGCGGCTATTCACTTTTGGCCCAGCAAGTTGAACCCTATATTACCGAGTCCACATCTGAAATCTTTAAAAGGACACTATGATGCTATAGAAACTCATTACTGGATAATTCTCCTTATCCCTACACTGCTGCCCACTGTACACTTATAGTGGGTGCAGCATGCCTAGTCTCAATAACTAGGCTTGTCTATGTGGTATAGCTCTTATGATTCTCTCTCCCATGCTTGAGAAGGATTTCTTCTCTAAATATCCTCTTTCCTAGAGGTATTCATCAACCAATCCAAACAGATTCAAACTACGGTGACCGAATCGAATAAACCGAAAACTGAAAAAAATAATCACAAATTTTAATTGGATTGGATCGGTTTTCATCAACCTATTCGAAAATCGATCCAATCCAAACCGATCCAATATATTAATTTCCCTCTACATACTTGGGCTTTTCTCTAATCATAACCCAAAAAATTTTAAACCTAAGACCCATTAACCCATCAACTAAACGCAAGAAAAAGATAAAACATTGTCACATCTCATCAACAAAATTTCATCTGTGTAGAGCTTCATATCTCATTGCCCAAAAAAAAACTATATTATCGTTTACTGATGCTTTTGTATTTCAATTTTTATTTTTTTTTACAAAGCCAATATATACAAAAGATGTTATTTGCACAATAATCATGAAACTAATTTTAAGATTTTCAAAAAATTGAAAATCGATCCAATCCAAACCGAAAAATATTGGATTGGATCGGATCGGATTTGAAAAAAAAAATCCCACCCGAATGGATGATTACATGATCAAATCGAAGGTATTGGATCAGATGATTTTTTCTTCCAAACCGATCCAATCCAGACCGCGAACACCCTTACTCTTCCCTTATGGAAGGGACATCTTCTTATCAATCTATGTTATATGTTGTTACTCTATAGTCTGTACAAATGTAGAGACACATAGTCATTTACACGGAACACCAATCAAAATGCCACTATTCACAAGGTTTTTTTACCTAAATGTCACGCGAACAGTGTTATTTCCCAATCTGCCACGGGGGCAAGTTCGCTACCCGGTGTAGCGAACTCGGTTTGCTGACGTGTCACATTTCTAGTGGATAACAAGTACCAAGTTAAAAAAAAGTATGGAGTTCGCTACATTGGGCAGCAAACTTGGTTAAAACCAAGTTCGCTACCCCGTGTAGCGAACTTGGTGTCCACTAGAAACATGACATGTCTGGAAACTGAGTTCGCTACACCGGGTAGCGAACTTGACCCCGCGGCAAATTGAAAAATAACATTATTCGCGTGGTATTTAGATAAAAAAACTTGATGAACAGTGACCAAATTTCAACCTATTCAGCACCATAGGAAGTTTCAACAGTATCTTAGTCTTTGTCATTGCTACTATGAGCATCTCTATATCAAGTACTATACCCTCAAACATTTATGGCTCTACCAAAGCACCAACACTTAAGGTTTCATAAACCATTCAACATTGGTATAAGATTCGAATTTTTTTCGAAAATTATTCAAATCCCTCCTCAGAAATTGAAATTTGAACTATCGTATCTCGTTCAAATTAACTTTGTTCCTGATTTTTTTATTGGAGTTCCATTAAAATGTGTTATTTGTAAAACTAAATAAAAAATAAAAATAAAAATAAATATTTTGGAATGGCAATTGCGCTTAAAACCATGATAGTGTAAGCAATCGGATGCACATTTCGGGTTAAGAGGTTATGTAGTATTTATCAATATAATACAATTTTAAAAAATTATTAAATTATTAAATTAACAATTTATAAATTATTTATTAATTTGATACAGTTTAATCCTATTAGCCTAACTTGGGAGGCCGGGGTGTCACAATATCATGTGAGTCTCTCGATGGACCCATCAGCAAGACTGCTACATGGGACTATTTACTTAGTAAAATAAATTGTGTATTTACTCAAGTAAATGTCGAAAAATAATGAATACAAATAATTGTTTATAAATCATTTTAATTGATTCATTTTATAATTATAGATAAAAAATTTGTATTTATGAGATCAATTACGGGTGATTGATCTTATAATTATGAGTAATTAATTTTAAATTTATGTAATTGATTCCATGTTCAAGGATGATTCATCACAAACTGGGCTCTAAGTCAAAAAGAGTGATTCTCACTTCACATAAATTAAATATAGAATCGACCCCATAAATACAAAATTAATTACTTATAATTACAAGGTCAATCACATAAATAAATCACTCATAAATTGATCCCATAAATATAAAATTAACCACTCATAATTATATAATTGATCGCCCATAAATATAAAATTAATCACTCATTACTTGACTCATAAATAAATAATTAATTACTAATAAATACATAATCAATCAACTATAATGATTGATTCTCATTATTAATTGATATGTGATTATCCCCTACACTTAACTTGCATTATATTAACTATTCGTCAGAATTTACTTGACTAATTTATTCATTTATTTAAATAAATAACTTACAGTTATTTAGCGGATCTAAAATTAGCAGGATGTACCAAATTCCTTTGGCACAGGTGGTAAGGAGCCTGGACTCCTTAATCAGAGGTCTCGAGTTCGAGTGAAAGAAAGGATTTGGGAGGGCCGCCCCCGAAAGATCCGACAATGTTCGAAAGGGGATTAGTCTTCGGTTACGGCTGGAGGATGTCCTTGAGTTCACTCAACAAAAAAAAAAAAAAGATTAGCAGGATGTTACATGTTGCATCCTGATATAGTGGACTAGTGGAGTAAGCTGGATCAAATAATATTAAATTGGTAAATAATTTTTCGACTATGTTATTTTAAATAAAAATTTTATACTGGTCAAATGCCCATTAATAACTTAGCTTGGAATTCCGAAGTGTTTTATTGTTACCAAAATATATATAAAATTAAAGGGTACTCAAACTCAACTATAATTTATGAGCAGTTGAGCACCAGTGTATCCTTGAAAGAGATGGCAATCAAATGAGATTGTTAGGGAAGGAGAATTCGAACCAGCATAGAAGAGAGAATGAATATTTATCAACAAAGACTTAATTAAAAGCATACAATACTACTGCTCTGGTGCTGGGTCCCTTTTCAGTTTTTTTATTTTATTTTAAATTTATTTATGGAAGCTACCAGGCGATTTGGATTATAAAATAATAAATTGTATTCAATTTATGTCTTGGCACAGAGACAGTGACCCACTTCACATTTCACGAGTCAAAAATTAGCCCCCATCATGATTCGGCTTTAAGGTCACCCCCCAAAAGGAGTTCGAGGCTTTTGAATAGCTAGCTATATACAAGACCCATATCCTATCAACACTAACAGCGTTTTGCTTCCCAATCAAATGAAAGGGGAATAAAAGGAGAATAAGTAAAACAAATCATCAAAATGGAAGGTAACTAACCTGTAGATTGGACCATATTGCTTTGCAAGGACTGAGAACACATCAGGACCATACTTAGCCAGCAAGGGAAGGTGTCCTACCAGCGGCAGAGATTTTGGGCCTGGAACCTTCCTTACACCCCAATACGGCCCATACAGATAAACAAACAATCCCCCTATTAACGCCACCAGGGTGAACATTATTGTTGAAGCATAAGGGACACTTGGAATTGGAAACGGCCATTCCAAATCCATCAACACCATTTTTATTTTTACTTGTAAAACAGTATTGGAATGTATAAATTATCAAAGATAAGAGACGGAGACTTTGGTTATTGAAATAGAATAGAAAATGAGGGGTGGTGGAAGGCTCTAGAGTCTAGATTGAGGCTTATATTAAGGAATTGGAGGTACCAAGAACTCTCTTTTGTCCGTATATGAATGATGACATGAGCGAATTAGATACCCTTGTACCCAATCCATTCCCTTCATTCATTGTATTTATTATATAATCAAACCAATACTTAATTTAAAAAAAATTCTGGTTTTCACGGGAAGGCAAAAATAATGGGGTATTATGAGTCCTTCTTTTCAATTGAAAGATACCTTTGTACCCAGCTCGTGCATGTGTTGTGGACTTGTGGGTGTGTGGGTGGGTATATGTGCACGTTTACCAGAATCGGGACAGAGAGTCACAACCCACTATGCATCCTATTCCTGTACCCAGGCAGGAAAATGAGGCGTGCAAGTCATATTTAATCACGAGAGCGATAGATCAGTGAGGAAGATAATAATGATAATAATTTTTTTTTTTTGGATAAATAACATTTATCCTCTACGGAAGATAATCTTGTTCAGGCTTTAAATATTTATATCATTGTGAAACTAACTCTCTTACAAATGATTTTTTATATGGGCTTTATTAGTTTCATTTCACATAAGATAATTATCTTATGTTATAGAGAGAAAATATGTGAGTTTTACAATTATAAGAAAAAAAAATGTATCGAAATGAAAGAGCACGAGAGAAGTTATCTTATGTAAAAAGAGGGAAATATTTTTCTTTTATATTCACATTAACTTAAATCCAAAACCTTGTTTAGATAAAATTAAGCATATACCATTTGAACCTTTAGTATAATAATTTTATTCTTAGCCTGAAAGAACAAGGACAATTAAGAATCACCACGAACCCTCTTCTACTTTGGCCGTGTTGATCAGCATTTATGCTTTGTATTTGCTGAGGAATCAACGAATGCTCTTTGAATATACTTTATAAACAGTTACAATAATAATTTATTATGTCCTAGTCCTCCCTCGTATCCATTGTCCACTACTACAAAAATATTATAAAATTTTAAGCAAGAGACGTGTTCTTCCCGTTATTCAATATATAACTATATCTGTAGACATCATATCGAAGATGGCGAAGGAAAGAGAGGGAAACAATCTGATTTAATTAATCATATTTTGCTACCTTCTACCTTTAAAATAAAATCTGGATTAATCAATTATCCGCAATATTTTGTGCTCTACTTTGGTGGGAGATAACTTTTTTTTGTATATAATAGTGACGTGAATTTCAAATTCAATTATTATTTTTCTCCAAATTATCTAAACCTCTAACTTATAAAGCAAAGACTGCAAGGTTACTCATGACATCCATTGTCAAGGATACGTATTGGTGCTAATACGGCTTAAGTGTCAAATTTCTATTAGACAATCGCGTAAAACTATGGATACATAACAGTAATGTTAGATTCACCAAATCTTTTACGCATGAATCGCACAGATTTTAAATTAGTGGATGAAAATTTTTTGTCATTCATTTCTTACACTACTTAAAAACTTTTGAATCATTAATTTTTCTCGTGTGATTCTTAGGTAAAACATTTTTGTGTAACTTAACAAGATTCATATACATAATCATAATTATATATGTTCTTCGATTATCCTAATGAAAGAACATAATGTGTAGAAACTCTATGTGGAGTATTGGAAGGTTGATACGGCACTCTCTACTCTATATTAGAGGAGAAAACATATATTTTCCCTCTCACAAAATTCTTTCCAAATGATATTTTTATTTTGAGAGTATAAAGAGCTTCATAAACATTCATTGAGATTATATACACAAATCCATGAATCTTTAGCTCATTCTTGCAATAAAATCATATTTGAAGGTTATCAAGCACCCCAGAAGCTTGGTGGTTGAAAGGTTTCTAAACACCCGTGAAGCTTAGTGGATTGTAAGATTTCCAAGCAACTAGAAGCTTGAAAGTTATAGAGGTTTGTGAAGTATCCGTGGAACTTGGCCTATAGTGGAAAATTGTTGAATGGTAGGGGTGTTCGCGGTCTGGATTGGATCGGTTTTGGAAGCAAAACTCATCCGATCCAATCCTTTCGGTTTAGATTTTTTTTCAAATCCGATCTGATCCAATCCAATTTTTTTCGGTTTGGATTGGATCAGTTTTCGGTTTTTTGAATATCATAAAATTAGTTTCATGTTTATTGTGCAAATAACATCTTTTGTATATATTGGCTTTGTAAATTTATTTTTTTTGAAATACAAAAATATCAGTAAACAATACTATAGTTGATGAGACGTGACTAAGTTTTTTCTTGGTTTAATTGATGAGTTAATGGATCTTGGATTTAGAAATTTTTGGACTATAGTTGGGGAAAGGACCAAGTAGGTAGAGGAGAATTAATATATTGGATCGGTTTGGATTGGATCGGTTTTCATCAACCCATCCGAAAACCGATCCAATCCAATTAAAATTTGCGATTTTTTTTCGGTTTTTGATTTTTCGATTTTCGGTTTATTCGGTTATCGGTTTTTCGGTTCGGTTTTCACGGTTTGAATCGGTTTGGATCGGTTGATGAACACCCCCTAATAGCTAGGTCACAAGTGGTGGGGACCAAAGCATGATAAATAGAGTTTGTATTTTCTCAACCCTCACATTTTATTTCTTGCACTTTGATTGCTTCTTTTTTTAGTACAGTTTGCTTCGTTAATATATAATATGTGCTAGCATAGATTATATCATTGTGGTATATTGTGTATTATGGATTACTTGAATATATTGATAAACTTCTCATATGTCAAAGTGTCTATAATAATGTTAATTTAGAACCACTAAGAGAGATTTTGCGAAAATTATGAAATACTCATTAACCCTCATTTTAAGTATGGAAGTCACACTCCTAATACTTTATTTTTTGAGTTTGGTTTAACTATAAATGTATCATTGTAAGTAGCAATGTGATACTAAACATGTTGATTTGGATGTATGATCATTGCCATAGTCACATGTGCCTTTTATAATTGTTATTTGTATGCGTCTTTTATATTTGTCGATTGTTGCATTTGAATATATCATTATTATATAAGTAGATGGTTGCTAAAGAAAAAATGACATTGCGTGATTTAAAGCATCTATGTTGTTCTTTATTGGTAGTGGATCCTCTTATATTAAAATTTCTCATGACTTGGTCATATGCAATTTTTGTGTCTGTATCTCTCTTTACATGCATTAAATAGGTGGGGTTCAATTATCATTAATGAGAAAAAAGATGGATACAAAAATTTCACAATACTTGATTATGTGAAACTTTAACATGAAAGAATCTATTCCCTCTATTGTCCTAATGGTTTAGTTTTTCTATTTTAGTTTTAATCTTAATTTTATCTATTTATTTTTAGTAAATTAAAAATTAATATTTGAAACAAATAAAAGATTAAAATAATCCATGAGCGGATCAATTTATTTTTCATAAAAATTAAAACATGTACACCGTCTAATCCTAATTTAAGTACATTACAAGAGTTTCTAAAAATATATCGGCATTATCCTATTTTTTATTTTTTTTTATAACGAGGCATTAAAACATTTTTTTTGGACAACAAATTCTAATGGATATTGAAAAGAATCCCTCTATTTACAATGATCATACAACTCATTAGCTTATTATAAGTTTCACATCATTTCTCACAACAAATCTTTTCATTCTTTTAACCATTGTTAGGAAAATATTTTTATAAAAATTCTAGTGTCTACTCTTTTATGAAATTTTTCTTTATTATTCACAGGGTTAAAATGCACATTCTAATTTCTAACCCAATATATAATAGTATTAAAGATAAACTTGAATTAAAAAAAAAAATTATAAAGCAAATCACAAGAAAACGAACTTTTCTTTGTAATATGAGTTCGTTTTTTCTGCAATTACTGCAGATAAATTATCTGCAATAAATGCAATGCGACGTTATTTTGGGATAAAATTCATGGTCTTTTTATAATATTAATTTATTTCAGAATTATTATAATTTTTATAACTATAATTTTTTAATATTTTAATTCTAAAACAACGTCGTTTTGAAAATAAATACAGATAATTTATACGTAATAACTGAAAAAATATTTTTCTATTATAATATTAGTACAACAAAAGTTTCTCACAGAACTGTCCACCGTCCAACTTCAAAGTTGTCTTCATTTGCGGACGCCTTCCCACAGCTCCAGTCTTATTAGCCGACCTCAATCTTTTGTTTTGTGCGAAAACTGAATAAACAAATTTTATTCAGACTCGACATAACTCGTTTGGACGTATTATAAATTTAATTAACAATTACTCTTTATCAACATATTTTTTCCATTATATATTTGGACGTATTATAGTATCATTATAGAGTGTTAATATTATTTTTTTAAAGAGAGAGATAAACAATAAGTGGTAAAATTTTTGATTTTGAAAATTGTAAGACCTACTTTTTTTTCGGAACAGTAACCATTGTGCCACTGTTCCCACTGTTATTTACCTAAATGCCACACACTTAAACTTTTTTCTCAAACTGCCACGCGGGCTAGTTCGCTGGGAGTAGTAGCGACCTCGTAATGCTGAGCTGTCAGCTTCCTGGTGGTGTCAGAGTTCGCGACTGACGCAGGCGACCTCTGTTGCAATTAATGCCTGACCAGCCAGGCCACGTGGCGTGCATGCAAGAGAGGTCGTGACTGACGCAGGCGACCTCTGTTGCAATTAATGCCTGACCAGCCAGGCCACGTGGCGTGCATGAAAGCGAGGTCGCTGCCCACGCAGGCGACCTGTGCCCAACGGATACTTTTTCACCCTATATAACCCCCCCCTCCCTTCCCATACGCGTCCCCCTCCACATTTTCTTTCTCTCTCTCTCTGTCTCTCTTAATTTTCTTACTCTCACATTTGATCTTTTTGTCTTCATTTGAGGTTAGTGATGTATAATTTGATTAATTTTTATTTTTTTTATTGTTAGTTAGTTGTTGTTTAATATATAATATGTAACATAAAATATTAGGTTAGATGTTATCAAAAAATAAAATATTAGGTTAGATGACATTTTAATTGTTTTATTATTTTAATTAGTTTAATATTAGTAGTTTAGTAATTACATTTTGATGTTAGTAGTTAAATAACATATTATTTAATTAATGTATGTAATAAATTGTTTTGTATGCGTTATTTATTTATAGGTTTTAGGGTAAGATAATTTTTATGATTAATGTTATGACACATTAGGTTAGATGACATATTATTTATTTTATTATTTGAATTATTCTAATATTAATAGTTTAGTAATTGCATGTTAATTTAAGTAGGTAAATATTTTATAGTTTAATTAATGTATTTAATAAATTATTTTATATGCATTATTTATTAATAGGATTTAGTCAGGTTATATTTTTATATGTTAATGTGTCTATTTATGTAGTTAATAAGTTGTTGATTATGCAATAAATAATAATATTGAATTAAATAAAATCATTTATTTGTAGGATTGAAAAATAAGTTGTGTTCAAATATAATATGTATGTTAATGTTATTAGGTGTAGTACTTTTTATTAATGTATAATTTAATAATATTAATTGTTTGATATTATTTATAGTCTTGGCATCTAGGTTAGAAAAGAATTATTTTAATTTTGTTAGATTTTGTATTTACTAAAATTTAGATTATGCAATAATTAAAATAACCAAATTAAATAAAATTATTTAGTTTTAGGGTTGACAAATAAATGTGACAAAGTTCTTTTACCACAATGTTTGTGTTTATTTATTTATTTTTTAGTAATTAGTATTTATTTTTAGTATTTATTTATTAGTAATTAATTGTGGAGTATAGAATAATTAATTGAACTTGAAAATTAATATATTTATTAATAAATTTTGTATTTATTATTTGTAAATAGATTCATGGAGCAACAGAACCCGCACCAGACCTTCATTGACCCTGGTCCATTGGTGCCGTCTCTCCTGACGTTGCAGGAGAAACACATTTCGACGTACATATGGAACAGATCTGGTGACGCAAATCCAGATGATCGTGTACTGAACGTCAGACACGCTGCTTCATGGGATCATCTAAATATACCCGAGGATATCCATCCTTACCTGCAGCAGGCAGGGTTTTATCACATTGCGCGTCTGCGCAACCATGAGGTTGGTGATACATAGAGTAGATAAATAAAAAAATTACATGTTGTATAGTTAATCAATTGTGATAAAATGTAAAATAATTTTTTATTGTCAGATTGACCACCATCTCATTTCGGCCCTTGAGGAGAGATGGCGTCCTGAGACGCGCATATTCCATATGTCCATGGGTGAGGTGACGATTACTCTGGAGGATGTCCACCATCTGCTTGGACTGCCTACAGATGGAGAGGTTGTATCTGGCCGCGTTGGAGGTCATCCCTTCTCCCAAATGGTGGGAGATTTTTTGGGCGTTCGGGTCGGTCGCGCGACTTATATAAAAACCAAATTTCGCTTACATTTCTGAGGGAACGGTATCTAAATTGGCATGAATGGTCTGGCAATGAAGTTGACCGTATGCGATACACACGTGCATTGATTTTGCGCATTATAGGTGGTTGCCTCTTCGTTGAGACTGCATCTAGCTTCGTCCATGCGCGGTATCTCCTATTTTTGGATGATTTTCAGAGGACTAGGACGTATTCTTGGGGTTCCGCTGTCCTGACTACTTTGTACAGGGAGTTGTGCAAGGTTACTGACCCAGGACGATCGGATATGGGTGGCTGTACTCTGTTACTACAATTGTGGGCATGGACACGTTTCCCTACTATCTCCCCAGGAATCCCAGAGATCACCGATCCAGATGCTATTTTTGGAGTTGTGCAGGGAGTTAGAATACGTTGCAGGCTTTATTTCACCCAAGTTCGCTGCTGACACAAGCGAACTTGAGAACCACCAGCTTACTGACACATCATCATGCCTAGTTCGCTACTACTCCCAGCGAACTAGCCCGCGTGGCAGTTTAGGAAAAAAGTTCAGGTGCGTGGCATTTAAGTAAATAACACTGGGAACAGTGGCACAATGATTACTGTTCCCTTTTTTCCCCCTTATCTTTCTTTTTGCCTGTTGTAGAGTATCTAAACCAAAACCGTTCATACATTTTTACGATCACATTTTTAATTAATGTATTGTTTCTGTATCAGCTACATATAGTACTAATCAAATAAAAAAATGATCTTCACGGCAAATATTTGAAAGGTATTTCCATAAATGACATGCAAAAATAATGTAATAAAATTTGATGGCAAAACAACCTGAAATATGTTGAATTGTTGTGAGTCTCTCGTAAATATTTACAAGGGATGCACTGCCTGTTTAGTTTATGACCTCTTCTGCTTATTTTTGCATCTTTATTTCTTTCTTTCTTTTCTCTTTTTGGTAATTTTTCCTTTTTAGCTGTTCCTAACGTGTTTGAATTTTAGTGGACAATACCTAATTAAAGAACCAAAGGAAATTAGAAAATTTAAATTTAAAATAAGGTAAAATAAAATGAATTTTAATAGAATCTTTTTCAATAAATACTTCTACCTTTTTTTTTACTGATTTGAAAAGTATAAGATAAACTTATTATTAAATAATTTCTTTACTATTATATTATTTTTAATTAATAAAACAAAAAAATTCTTCGTTCTATAATATGTACTAAGCAATTCTATTACATCAGTGGCACAAGAATCAAAATAATAATCCCGCTCCCTCTCTAGTAAATTAGCATTTGCCAGAATTTAGAAATTTCTGCCATTTGCCATTCTAATGTGGCCACAGGTTAAACCCTGTTGAGTAAGTGCAGCCAGAAAAAGAGAATGAGGCAATCAGTATTGGGCTCGAGAAGCAGCGCGAATGGACCATCAGTTTAGTCCAAGGACTAGTTGGACCAAAAGGAATAAAGCCCAGCCTAAGTGGCTAAAGGATTATGTGGTATGAGCAGCAGCTGTGAGCTGAGGGTGGGGGAGTTTAGCATGGTTGTTAGACGGTTTGTTGGGGGTAGAATCTGTTGTTAGAATCGGATGAAAATGCTGGTTTGCTGTTAATGAAAATAAGAAGAAATATTTTTATTCATTTTGTTTTTAGGAGGACCCTCTCCTTCGACGAGAGCAAGTGCTGGATCTATCAGTTCTCGACTTATCTGCCCCGCCCACGTAAACCCTTAGCTAAAACAGAGAACAAAACTACATCACAAATGTTAAACGACTAATGATAAAAAATATATAAATAGAACATACATCAATATAAAAATAAAAAAAACTTATATTTAATCTTAATCTTTTATTCACTAATTCATTAGCATCCAACAATATAAAGACAAAAATAAATCATGAGTTTTTACAATTACCTATTTTAATATTTTTCTCTTTTTTCTTTTATTACCATTTATTCATTTTTATATAATTATAACTTTTCACATAATCATATCATAATTTTTTAACATAAACAAATCAAATCTATTTTGTATAATTACCTAATTTTGAAATATTTAAAAATACTAGTTTTTTCCAGTTCTTTGAAAATTTTGACCTACATATTTTGCTTAGTTACCTAATTCTGAAATATTTCTCAGTTGCTTTCTGGTTTGAGGAGACGTTGCAAAAACTATCAATGGATTAGATAAAATGATGAGATAACAAAAGATTAGGAAAAAAAAAAGTTGTTCACAAATAAATCAGGTGAAAAATACAACTAATCCCAATAGCGTAATTGATACAAGCAATTTATAACATGTCCAAAGTTAGTCATTTACTACCTTCAGCTGAAAATCCAAAAAGCAACTCACAAAATTATAGAGACAACAATTTAAAATTAAATACTCAACTACTTATCGATAGATATATGTAATCCAGTGGCACTCGAGTCAGAAAATGTTGACACATGAAACGAATACCCAGGTACTAAACAAAGAAATGTACAGGGAGGGCCACTGCACAAGAACCCTCCTTTAACACTGAAAATTTGACAATCTAGCAAATTATAAGCAGACTAATACTACATCTTTTCCCAGTCAATCATTTCGATAACTTCCTTGAACATCTGCTTTTGATATCGCCTGCAAAATGTACAATATGGTTACAAACAGGGTAACAAAATAAACATAAAAGTATCGTCAGTACAAAGAATACTCAGCTAATCACAAAATTTACGTTGTTTAACAAAGGATACAGATAAAGAACAATATCTGTTGGCCTCTTCTGCAACTACCTCCTCCCCTGCTGCATACAAAAACATTCATATTCTACATCAATTATTCAATTACGATTACAGAATTTATCAAACCATAAATATATATTAAAAAAAAAAAAAAAAAAAAAAACAATAAAGGCGTACCACCATAGTGCAAGGGGAATTTAGTTGCAGAGAGCAAACATACTAAAATTTCTACAAACACTTCATATCCACTAGTGTTTGGACCCAAGATAACCCATATGGTCCACAAGATTCCGCAAGTCCTCGGTCCAATCATCGTGCTTAGCTACCAAATCCTCCACTGGCACATCAATTTGGGAAAAATCACCAATTACAACTTCATCCTCAGGATTCCCAGCAACCAAGTCTTGGTTCAGCAAGTCCTCCCATATAGCATCACTGGCTGAACTCAAATTACTACCACTGGCAGTTGGAACTGAACTTGATGTTGTGTCTTTAATTTCACTGCTTGAATCATTATCATAAGCAGATAAGAAGAATGTCTCCATATCAGACTCAAGAGTTGCAAAGTCTTCCTCCGGTTCTTCTTGACTTGGAAAGTCCACAATTGGTTCCTTAATTGGGACTGCCACAGTAACAGGAACTTGTTGCAAATTCGCAACGCTTGGGCTTGCAGTTAGTCTCCGCTTACGCCTGGTTTCAACACCCTGCAATAATTCTTTGTTCTGAGCATTCCTCTGGAGGAATTGTTGAATGAAAGATTGATTATTGAGTGCTTTGGCAAGGAAAGTCATCATCTGTTGATGTTTCTTCTCTGTGGTTTGCAATCTAGTCCCCATGTCAGATAATAGCTCCCTTGAGTTGTGTTGTTGCTGCCTCAACTTCACAATTTCTTCCATTAACACCGTCCTGTCTCTCCTCAACCTCTCAAGTTCACCTTCCAACCCATACTCACCCAATTCAACAACACAAGTGCCCCCACTTCCTCCTTCTCCTTGCAATTGCATTCCCTGTGACTGTGTCACATTTCTTCTTCTCTTTATGGTCTTCAACAACTCCCTCTGCCCTGCCAGAAACCCTTCGTTTGCGAATTCCCATCTATCTGGATCAACTTTTCTAAAACCCTGTGCACATCCATTTCCAAAGTTGAAGTCACTGTTTATAGAATCACATAAAAGCATTCAACTAATTAATCAAAATACATAGATGACATCAAATATTCCTAGTTGAACATCTTGTGTTTTTCCGAAATACTAGAATTTAAATTTAATAAACCTCGTACATCATTGAATAAAATAAAAAAAAAAAGAAAAAAAAGAGAGAGTACTTACATAGGTGTTGAGCTGTCGAATGAAGCTGGAGAAATTGTTGTGCTTGAAGTAACGAGGCAAAATGGTGGTGGAGAACTTGTGAGAATCCCAAACAACGAAACTATTGCGAGCAGTGCTCCACGAAACAATGGAGTCAGTGGATGGATCTTCGACAACGTCAAAGGTTTTGGTGAGAAATGGAGGTGGACCTGCCTCGTGCAACCCTTTCATGGGCTGTGGGGAAAGGTTTGAACTTGCGGAAGAAGACGAAGATGAACCACCTCCGCATACCACTGTTTCTTCCTCTTTCACTCTATTTCCTTGCATTTCACTCTTTCGATTTCGATGTTAAAACTTTTTTATTTTATGTTCTTAAAATGGAAACTGAGTGTGGTGAATACTGAGAGAGATTTGCAAGTGACATTAATTTGAAGCAATTTTAAGGCGCTGCTGGAGCAGGAAGATTCTAGAGAAAGTGGAAATTATTTGGTTGGCGTTTCCTTTTTTTTTCCCAGAGATTGTCAGAAGGTTCTGACATTTGTCATTCTCATGTTCATCGTGGTCATAGATATTTTGTTAAAGTTCTGGAAACTGCTCCACCCACTTATCCAAAGCAGAGAGTGACGCGTGTCATTAAAGTGAGAAAAACGTCCTCACCAAGTAATCTGAATTCTGAAGGCTCTCCACATGGAACATGACTAAAGTGTCACGTTTGGACAAAAAAATTACCAGATTGTTACGTTAATAGTAAATTTTGTCAAAATATCATGTGTCATAATAGTAAATGCCACATGTCGAATTTCTCAAAATTTGACATGTGGCATTTTTGGTTCTGACGAGGCATATTTCGCTATACTGTGTAGCAAATTACTTGCATGCATAATTCGCTATACTGTGTAGCGAATTATGCCGCGTGGAATTTTGGCAAAATTTACTGTTAGCGTGACAGTCTAATAATTTTTTTGTCCAAACGTGACAAAATAGTCACTGTTCCCTCCATGTGCTCTATTTGTGTAAATATTTTAGGTATGTACTGCTCAATTGATTTTGTGGGAACAGTGACCATTTGACCACGTTTGGACAAAAAACTTACCAGACTGCCACGCCAACATTAAATTTTGCCAAAATGCCACACGGGATAATTCGCCACACAGTGTAGCGAAATATGTCACGTCAAAACCAAAAATGCCACATGTCAAATTTTAAAAAATTTGCTACCCTATGTAGCGAATTTCTCAAAATTTGACATGTGACATTTTTGGTTCTGTGCATTTTGAAGTGGCATATTTCGCTACACTGTGTAGCGAATTACTTGCATGCATAATTCGCTACACTGTGTAGCGAATTATGCCGTGTGGCATTTTGGCAAAATTTACTGTTAGCGTGACAGTCTAGTAATTTTTTTGTCCAAGCGTGACACTTTGGTCACTATCCCGATTTTGTGTAAAAGTCTAAATTACAGATTTAATTTAATTTATATTTTTAAAAAATTAATATAATTTTGTTAGTTTGTTTAAGTCTTTAAACATTGAATAATTTAAAAATTAAAATAATATTATTTTATAATTCATTATTATTAATAAATTTATTTATTTTAAAATAATTAAAATGATATTAGTTAATTTGTAAGTTTATAGTCTATGATCTATTTTTTAAATTGTCTTTTTAAAAACTCTGAGTCAATCTGTTTTATTTAACTATACATGATGAGTCGAGTTTGACCTAATATAAATTAGGTCATGGATCTCTGTTAGGGCATTGGCTCATTTAGCCTCTCGTTAATATTTATTAAATCAAATTAATATCTTATCAGCTTCATGTTAACCTATTTTTGTTTCTATAATTAGGATCTAAATATATCATATGTTATTATTTATCTAATCTAGAAGAGGATGAGGTCTGATGGGGATCAGAATCGAATGTTCCGAGGATAATTCTTTAGTAAGTGATGTTAAAGTCCAATCGAGCTGGTTACATGGCAAAAGCACATACAACGGCAGTTTGACAAAAGAATTGTAGTTAATGTTACTTTGGACATATTTAATGATTTTTTCTATAGAAATCTAAACTTTATTTTAGTAGATATCCAAAGTCTAACTTTTACAGCTGTTAAAAGTTTAGTTAATCTATTTATTTTGCTCCCTTAGAATAATCTCTTTAAAAGGACACTAATATTATCTCGTTTATAGATTGGTTCATGTACAAAACTCATACATATAATAAGTCTGTTATGCAGGAATTAGACCAATCTCTATAGAGGAATTGAATTAGCGTAAAAATTATTAGTTTCCAATTTATAAGTAGCCACTAAAGAAAAGACAAAACAACAAGGTTCGAAAATTTATGAGTGGAACTAATAAGTTATTTCCCAAACTTATTATCTCGCCCAATGGCAGAGCCATCTTGGGATAGGGTGAGACTTTGGTCCAAATAAAATTTTGAAAATTAGTCATGGTTTCAACGTGATTAAAGAAATGTGGCTAGTTTGCAAGTTTATTTCAAAACTTTAGTCACGTTATAATGTGGTTAAATAACCGTGATCTGAACTAAATTCTTTTAGCCCAATTGCTATGCTGGCTCCGTCATTTATCTTGCCCAACACAAATGCAGAGGAGAAAAATCAGAAGATTGTAAAAATCAGAGCCACTGGCCCACTGGCATTGTGACATAGCTAGAAACACAGGTCCTTCTCTTCTCTATAACCCACGTCTGTAAGTAATATGTGACACGGTGACCATTATTCCTTGTCATAAAAAATTGATTGCGATCAGTTACAATATAGATTACAAATATTTGGCCAGTAAGTAATATGTAAGTAATTAAGTATATACCTCTGTATGTTTCTCAGGTTCCAAGTGATTTTTTGTAAGCATGTAAAATGGAAAGAATGGCTAAATTTTAACAAATTATATATATTATATATAATTAATTATAATTTGGTTCGGGTTAAAATTATAATTAGACCCTATCTTAAAATTAAAACATATTTGGTGAGAGATTTAGATAAGTTATATTAGGTTATGTGTTCAATTCTCATTTGTATAAAAAAATTAAAATATATTTAACAAAATTAAAAAATACTTAATAAAATTATAACTTTTTTTAGTGCTGCCTGCCTGGGTGTTCTGTATTTAACATAATTTAAATACAGAAAAATATTTCTACAGTTAATGCAGATAAGTTATCTGTATTTACTTTCAAAACGACGTCATTTTGGGATTGAAATATTAAAATATTATAATTATAAAGACCTTAATAACCCTGAAATAAATTAAAATTACAAAAATATCATGATTTCCGCCACAAAATAACGTCGTATTGGACTTATTACAAATAACTTATATGCAGTAACTGCAGAAAAAGTGAACTCATTTAAATATATTAAGATATGAATTAACTAAAATTAAAAAAAATATATATATAATTTTTTGATCCGAGCTCAGATTGAAGCTGACTCTGCCACTTGTTGGAGAAGAATAAAAAAAGAAGTAATAGAAAAAAATTCACAAGATAATAACTTACTTTTGAAGGAAAAAAATTCAGAAGGGGTTTTGAATTATTATTATTTTATTGTAATATCGGAATTGATTAATGGGGCTACCTTGAGATCGAGAAAATAAAAGAAGAAGAAATTAGGCTTCCGTCCCGCGCGTGGATTCTGACAGAATCGCAATATGGATCAGTCCAACTTGCCAAATAAACAGGCTTTAACCAGACCCAGAAAAAACCGTGAAATACTGAAGCCTAAAACCTAAACCCAACAGCATTTTGATAAGCTTATGCTTAATCGATAAGTTTAATGCACAAACAACAGGTCTGAAACCCCGACCCAAAGATTGCATATTCAAACCAACAGAATGACCCCGACCTTAGCATTTCCTACTTGGATCAGTGCCATAAATCAACAGGTTTTTGGACTTGGCAAAATAAAAAAAATCTTTATAGTATAATCGAGTTTAACTCAAAATAATGAAAAGTTTGTCGATCTAAAAATAAATAAAACATCAAGTGGCCAAAACTATGACATAAGCTGGTTACACCTTGCATAACGGTTTTAGGTCTCTTACCCCCTCTACAAATATCATTTTCCTCCATTGTTAAAGGGGTTGCGTATTTATGTACTAAAAAAAAAGGGGGTTGCGAATTTTATTTCCACCATTACTCTTTCTCTTTGTTACTCAAAGGCTGACCCAGTAGGCCAGTACTATACAGTATACACACATGCACATCCTCTTTCTCAGACTTGTCCGATGATATCACCATTAACATCCACTAATTGGACTCTCGTATTCCATATTTCAGCTACTTTAATCCACTGAACATTAAACTTATTTAACCCATTCTTTAGTTAGACATTCTATCCTTACCACATTCCAGATCAATTTTCAACATGCTAATTTGGGGGATGAATTAAACATCTATATTTTAACATGCAATTTGTTAGGGATGATGTATTGATAATCAAATTATAAGCTTCCGAGAAGCTTTTATCCATGACATTCATATAAGGAAATGCAAATTTAAAAAATTATTTATAAGCATATGATGGGAATTACAGTTTTTCAACAAATTACAAAAAAAAATCGAATTTATTATAAAATTATTCTTGCAGAGACAAATTCAGATGACGAAAAAAAATTTAATACATGAGGACTATGAGTGCTCCCTTTCTCATTTAGACCTGGTTTAGCCATTGAATGCTACCGTCGATAAAAAAAAGACGCTCGGCTACCTCTTGGAGATTGACTCCTGTTGGTAAGTTCACATCTCCTGTAGTATCCCTATATACTCTAAAAAGAATTTCTAGAAAGCCTCTGCCTCTATCGCTTGATTGAAAGGATCAGACACTTTCCCCTACTTTTGACAGCAGAACGAAAGATTTATATTATTCAAATAAGGGCCAAATCCCGAAGAATTCCTTCTCTTGTGATTATGCTTACAACCAATAGTTTGTAGAGAATTGGAAGAGGTTCCTTCTGATCCTAGAAAACGTCCGAAACAGTTTTCCTATCCACAAATTTCTTAGTGAAGCAGATTCTAGGATCAGAAGGAACCGCTACAATGAGCCCTGGTAGAATTGTTCTTTTTGGAATTGTCATTTTAGGTTTGATCTTTCTCTTTCGTCTTGTTTCTTGTTTTTCAACAAAGAAAGGGTCGGTGTTTCATCTTATTAAATAAGGATTTTTTTTTCACTCAAACTTTTTTTTTTTTTTTTTTAGAAAAAAGTGTTTGTCATTTTAAATGGCATAAAATTATATGTCATTTTAAGAGAGAGATAGACACAAAAAAAATATTTTTTTATTTAAAATTTAAATTAAAAAAATTCATTTTCTCCTCCATAATTTTTGTTTCTTGTGTTTATCTCTCTCCTAAAACAACATATAATTTTATGCTATTTAAAATGACAAACATCGAACTTTTTTTAATATTTAGTAAAATAGAGTATCAAATTTGGTGACAGGGGTGCATTGAATT